GCAATTTGAGTGGAATGAACTCCATTATTACTAGTATGCGATATGAGGGGCAACTGTGGGTGGTGGCAAAAGGAAGAGATATGTTTTATGACCAACTGCTTTATCTTGTGAATAGCATAGACCTTGCAAGTAATAACCTTTCTGGAGATATGCCTGAAGGGTTAACAAATCTTTCAAGGTTGGGCACTTTGAACTTGTCTATGAACCATCTCACAGGAAAGATACCAGCCAGCATTGGAAGCTTGCAGTGGCTTGAGACTCTTGACCTCTCAAGAAACCAGCTTACTGGCACAATCCCACCAAGCATGGCCTCCATAACTGCATTGAATCACTTGAACCTTTCACACAACCACCTTTCAGGTCCAATTCCAACAACCAACCAGTTCCAGACATTCATTGATCCATCCATTTATGAAGATAATATTGGACTTTGTGGCCCACCATTGCCAACCAAGTGCAGCACTGATGATGGATCCTCATCACATCTTCCCGGTAAAGGAAAAACAAAAAACGGAGAAGCAAAAGGCAATCAAAAGCTTGGGTTTTACATCAGTTTGGTGCTGGGATTTGTTGTAGGATTTTGGGGAGTATGTGGAACTCTGGTAATAAAGAATTCCTGGAGGCATGCCTATTTTAAGTTCTTTGATGATATGAAAGAAAGAGTGCTTCTGTTTGTGTCACTGAAGTTAGCCAGCCGCCAAGGAGGCAGATGAACAGCGAAGAAAAGTGAGGCCAAGTGAAATTAGTTGCGAGTTACATAAGCATGTTCCAAGAGAAGGTGTTGCTTATATTTCTTCTTTCCCTTTTTATGCTGACAGTCTATGGCTGTTTTCGATGTGGTATTTTCCCTGTTATAAATGAAATGTGTTTCCATTTTTTTTTTCTTTTTTGGGATAATCTTTTTGTCAATCAAATTTGTCAAAATGATCCATATTGATGTTTTATGTTGATATTCATGGACTATTAACAGTGTGAAAACTACAATTGAAGAAAGCAAGAGCATATGCTGTACCTGTCCCGAAAGTCTGAAAGCAATCTATTGAAACCAGAATACCAGCACCCTTGGTTTTTTCCATTGATTTTATTGCAAATTGTTTGAAAAGTTGATTCTTCCAAGTTGAATAAGGAGAGGACGATGCCATACAGTCAAGATATATATATATATTTTTTTTTTGAGAAATGAACAAACTAACAAATTCACCATTAAATCTGTTATTTTTTCACTAATTGTGGGAGACCAAAGTGATTCAGAACTGTTGACTCAACCTAATCCCACTAAGTAGTTGATCTAATACCACTAAGTAGTTGACGATGAAATGTTCTTTACCTTAGTGTGAAAGGAACAGTGGAAACGTGGAAAGAACCCTGAAGTATGCAAATCTCAAGAAAACATCTTGTTTCTCATTACTGAATGAAGCAACATTAGTAAGAGGAACTTCGCCAAACCAAAAACTCAAGACTCCACCATGAAAATTTGCACCTTGTTCTTTCCAACACATTGGCACAACTAGATCAAAGAACTTTAGCCAAAGACTTGGCAAGTACTTTGTATAATTTTCAGACTTCAGTCCTCCTTCTAAACCAACTTTCTTGTCCTAGCTTCAGTCAAAAACATTACTACTGTCTGAAACTCAGAAAACAAAAAGCAATCAAAGTCCTTCGCAGGCTTGGGCCTCATTTGACAACACTTTTTAGTGTTTTATCTTTTGGTTTTTTATGCTTTTTTACCATTTGAAAAATATATGAAATGTTAATTAAAATAAATATAAAATATATTTTTAAGATGTTAAAGGACCAAAAAACTTATAGTTGCAACTACATACCAGCATTATCAATTTAAGCCTTAAAATATTAGTGCTAATTAAT